TTCGAATTTACAACTACAGATGGGTTTTTTAAGTACTTAATTGGGATGTGCATTAAAATTTTCAAGAAGCGGAAGAAACATTTTCGATTTCCGTTGTAAATCCACGTCCAAACTCATTAGCAATTTCTCAAATAATTCATCTATGCATTCTTGCTAGAATAGCAATAGAATGCTAAACGCCTGTTTTGTCAACATTGTTGATGTAATCTGTACAAAATTTCTGAAGCAAGTTGGGCATTTTTTAAAGATTTCTTTTCCTTTCTTTTGCACTTGCCATGACTCGATTTCCATCCAGACAATCAGCCATCTGTTGCTTAAAAATAACCGTGATCCAGTTTTTTAGCTAATTTCTTTTACTTATTTTTTAACATTGGACCATTGATACGCACTCCTCGTCCAGTTACAGTATTGAACTATTGATTGAGGGCCTTATATAAGGGATTCTTAACTTCATGCTTCCGTTTTTTGTGTATTTCCCAGATGTAGTTCCCATTCTTCTTGAAGTTTATCGTGCTTCTGTTTCATGCAATCGTAGATTTCAATATAATTATCTTCGCCAGTCGACAATTACTGAAGTTAATCAGTTAGTCTTTTTATTTGTTCCAGTAAGGAAATTTTCTCGGTCACTTTCAAATCTTTGTGTGGCATCTTGGAGGGGTGGAGATCCAACAACGCCGCAATCACAATCCCCGATTAAATAGCATATTTTCCCAAATAATCTAAGGGAATTCTTGTTGTTTTCTCGATTTTTTGTTTCATATTACTTTCTCTAAATACATGGCTGTTCTAATTAATATGAGTCTACTACACAGGTATTTTGAGGGGAACACATTGAGAAGTGAATAATCGGCTTGTTCTAATCAGCATCTCTCCGTTTTGAAATGGAGATTTAGAAGATAAAACAAGGCTAGTTTTCGAGAGATTTTTTAAAAAACCAATAAAATTTGACTTTTTATTGCGGGGAAAAAGTTGGCTGAGGAAAATGTGTGAATTGGTCTTATTAGAAACCTAAGGATGATTGCCTTGTAGTAATGATTGCCTGATTGTGCCAAGCAGTCCTTGTATCAAGTCCTGTGAACTCGAATCCTTGCTGAGCTTTCGTCTGTCACTTGAAAAGCATCATCAGAGCAAGAAGCCATCATTTACTAAAAATCTCATCAATATATTAAATCTTTTCTGGTCTAGTTTATTGGTGGGTTTTTTTCTTAAAGTGTGGTTTCTCGCATTGACAATGTTTGTCACATTATAGATTAAGGCTCAACACGGATTCATCATATCAGAGACTGGTGAACAGGGTAATTCTCCTCACAATCTAACTGCCTCCATTCCCTCGATATCTGGCGAGGCCAATTTATAAATATCTTTCGACGAACTTTTTTTTTGAAATAAAAAGCCAAGTTACGGAGACGAATGCCGCTTAAAGCCCTAGAGTCCCATCCGATTAGCCTTAAGGTTATTCACTCGCCAAGCTCATTGTTTCGGTCTTTAAGCTTATTTCTAATCAGCATCCGTTAATCGTTTATATTTTTTCCCTTGAAAACATTTCAATTTATCCGCAGGCTTTTATTTATGATTTCGTGCTGAAACCGCTAAATATCTAGCTATGCTAGGTCGAGTCGGCTAGCATTATTTTGAAATTTTTTTAATGCTAGTACTTTCTTCACCATTAATCCAGAACTATTTTGTAGACTTTTATTTGTCTAATATTTATTCTTCTATCCAGCAATGCTGATTAATGCATCTCTCTACTCAGAAATTCATCAGCAGTCCGAGCATTCTACTTGCTCATCTTGTTGTGATCAATTTGGTCAACTTTTCGTTCATGGACGTCTGAAATGTATGGTAATTTCATTTAAGTGGCAAAATAACAATGCCCAAAAGTCATCTGGCGTTCCTTTCACTACGAGATCTCTCTCAATTCAGCTATGCTCTATTCAGCTAGCTGTTATGGAGGGTATGCACTTTTTATTTATGCTATTGTTATGCTTGATATTGCCTAATATTTTATTTTTATGATTACTATAGTTATGTGCCTTTGAACTTCAGTGACTCAGGCATTTTTTCGGAATTCTATCGAGCTCTTGGCCTTGCTCGTCACTATTTAGTGACGATTGGAAGTCCGTACCAAGCCTGTATCATAATAGATTGATATTTCAAGGAAATAAATGCGGCTTTTAACGGCTATCCATTATCTAACTCATCTAAACTCATAGAATGGATCATATTTATAACTATTTTATGGTTTACATTGCACTCTACTTGCGTATGATACCCTCTTTATGAGATCATCCATAGTCATGATCTGAGCTGGAAAATTGGGGTTGATTGGCTTAACTTGGACAACAACTTCTTAATCCTTGCACGAATAGGGTTTTAAATAGCTTCGGATCAAAGCTAGTCTATTTTGACAGCTAGGTCTTCCTACTGATATAATTAAGTTGCGAAAATAAGGTCAAACAACTTCGCAGATTTCATTCTTCTAAGAACGTTACCCGTACTGTGTTCTCTGCCATGGCTGTCCTGTATTCCTTCAGAATATAAGCGAGATACCGTGGCCACTTGACTACTAAATGTCCCCTCATCGAGCCGGCGGAACTTTACTTTCTTAATGTTAAAAAATTACCAATTTATAAAAAAGCGCTAGCCAGCTGAAATAATAGCAATTTTGACGTTTTTGGTTCTTAGAGTTTCTGGACACTTTCCAACTGCATCTTGCTCAAATGTTCAGGGCCTTTCGCCTTCTTCAGGATCCGCTAGTAACTGTTCTTTTTCTGCTGGGGCTTGGCTCGCCAAACCGCTTGGCAAAGCGACAGATCCATAGCGAAAAGGTTGCCACCGAAGACGAGCTCAAACCATTTCTTCGACGCTGTTGCCAACGCACCAGCATTGTGAGCAATAGAAGCCGGATAGCGCTTAGTGATTCATCAGGATACTTGGCCGGAACTCGCTCATCTCATCCCAAAACTGAGCCTCTCCTTTCTACTCAATCCATCCTGGAGGTTAGCTTAACTCTCGAGCCATTTCCTATTCGAAATGCACCAGAGGCGGAAGAGTATGAAGAAGGGGCTGTTTATTTTTCGCTCATTCGCAGTCCTATCAAAAGGTAACCCGCTTCTATATCTGCTTATTCTTTTATCAACCTGTTTTGTCATCAGCGTATATCATTCCTTCAGGAAAAACATTATTGTGAGCAATTTCATGACAGCTTAAATTAACACCGGTTCCTATCTCCAGATCTTCCGGTTTATTTTCTTGGTCAACTAAACTCTGTGATAAAGGGTTTATAGGTTGATCTCACGCGAAAACATCATCGAGGTCCCCTCTTTAAGTTGTGGCTTGATTTTAGTGGAGCATTCGAGCTTACGCTGCCACAGAGACACCTTCCTTAATTTCCGCTGAAATCGTGCCTAGCTTTCAACATCATCAGGCATATAATTCATCCTCAAAGCAATTTCAAGCCAATGATGCATCAATAACAATGACCTACTCATCCTTGCATTTTATGCATATTCCAATAAAAATGTATTTTTGGTGGTATACAACGATTTGATACTAGTAACAGCTTTGTTTCGCAGCTTCCCGTCGCCTGATCGTTTTATAATTATAATAATTTCGTCTGTTTTTTGTATTTGACTTCCATTAGTGATGAATTTATGTCGATGTATAGCTTTCACATAACATTTTACTTTCACTTTATCCCAAAGGCTTATTCTCATTTTGGCTTAACTACAGCCTCGGTTTCGCTCCATTATCTCATAAACTGCCTTATCATGATTTTTGCCATACGCATGGATTTGTTGGCTAAAATGTTACCCTCTAAGCTACCTAACCTTAGATACAAGTATGCTTTTCTATGCCAGGCAGACCACTTCCAACCTACATCATTTTGATAGCAATTTTGCGTTTGTAAGTTAACTCGATACGATTTATAGTTTCTATATGCGTGGGCATGTTTATGTATGTATGCACTTATGGTTTTTGCTTTCCGAAACGAACCCATCCGTGATAGTTATGAATAATTATTGCTGAACCTAATATTTGCCATAATTCCTAAAATCGGTATTATATACATCTTTTCTCATTTTCTGACCTCGTCTTCACATCTTTCTCAAAGGATGGGAGAACTGGAAAGGAAATGAGGATTAGAAACATCTTTCAAGGTATGCGTTGAATTTGCGAAACTGGGCTAAAAAGGTGAGTAGGAAATACTTGTGCTTGGTTAATAGACTTGAAGACCAAACTTAAGTTACCTTCAGATCGTGGCTTAACAATTATTTTCTATTATGGTCCTAACACCATAACTATGCGATTTAAGACAGAAACCCCGTAAAATCACCCAGACGGATATCCGGCGTTACGCAATCATATTGATTCCTTTCTTCTCTGAAACAACAGAGGAGAGAATCAAAACCCTGATTACCGAGTACTGCTATTCTGCTGTGATATAATTACCCCGAACTATTTTAGGCGATTTTGTTTCCTTATACGCACACGCATACAAATATTCATTTACACTTATATACCTGAAATTGAACCACTTAAATCATCTTTTCAAGAATGAGTTGGCTAATCTGCTTGATTCAATGCTGGCTTTAAATTGTCGCATTAATGAGATCCAGTTGAGCATGCTTTCACGGCAATCACATATGATTTTATCAAAGGCTCCGTTAGCCTGAAAGTCCATTTAAAATCAAAACACAAAATTAAAGGGAATCAGACGTTGTTTTCTTGTAATATAGAACCATGAGTTTTTTCCTTATAATCTTGCTCTCCCAATGAGGCTGGCCTCCACTGATGATATGTCAAAATTATAATCGAGATTTGGCTTCTCTTCCCATGTCAACCAATGGAAGCATCGAATTGCTTTCAATGTACGCGTGATCGCTGAGCCATCTATTATCAACTGAGATGAAAGACCCACATTAGCATAAAATTAACACTTTGTTTGGTTTTATAAAAAGGTCTTAGAGATTATTGCTAGTTCGGTCTTACTCAGACTTCATCAGAACCCCTAATCAGATTTTAAAACCGATTTATACACTTTAAGTGTGCCTCAGAAAATGTCTGATAATGAATTCCACTTCCACAGAATGGCACATATTCTCATAAATTAAACTTTTGTGATATCGTTATTTCCTTAAACGTCATATGTACCCTGAGACTCAATTACATTCCGCCAGTATGACCTGCTGGAGAAATGCATCTGTCTGATGTGCAAAATGGTTTTCGAATCCCGTCGAGCTGTTTATAAAACATTTACACGGTCGGAATTGTACTTCAGTCCCAATTATACAGTCCAGTATGGAACATCGCTTTGCGAAATTCGATGTCCAATAGGATCCTTGCATTCATTATGGACTTCTCACTTGTCAGGCCATTGAGCTACTCTATCCTTATATTACGAAACCTATGTAGTTGTTTTTTGTCTGATAGTTTTTAAATCTTATGTAAACTGTATTACCTATAATGCTCTCTGAAAATCTATCCTAGTCTTTCTATGTTTGACTTTTTCTCTATACACCTTCTTATCTTACTTTTGGCTGCTAGGTATAAATTGTGTGTAAGAATACTAGGGCCGTTTTGTGTGCGATGTTCCTTGGTTATCGCTCCTTCCCCATATTCCAACCTTATTTTTAGACATTCAAAACAAATTTGGGTATATTATGGGTATGGGAAAAGTGGCGTCCTGTGAAAAATCTGTATGTGGATATGGTTGTCTGCCAAGTAAAGTATCAATTTGTGCCTTGTTTTACCGGAATTTTAAAAATGTCTTTTCATACTGTGATAGGAGCACTGAGTTACATCTCTCCAGCGTCCGGTTTGAATGCCAGATAGAACGGCTTGCGTGTTCACGTTTAGTCCTGCCGACCTCTTCTGCAACCCTTCGGAGCGGCTCGGAGAGAATTGACAACCATTTCCTCGACGATCCCGGCCTATACGACTCCTGCTGTTGCCATTTATGCTCTTCCTCCTCATCCATCTCCTCCACTTCGTCCTCGACTGCC